GAGGAGGTGGTGGCTCGACAGCGGTCAAGCACTCTGGCCACAGAATCAGGCGTGACAGGCTGAAAGGAGTCAAGGGTTACCGGGCAAGACGGAGCGCTGGACATCTCTGCTCGACTTACTGTGTTCAAAAAAGGAGAGAAGTCCCATCGGATAGCCTCCACTTTAGATTTTAAAAAGGCTGCAAACTGGTCAGGTGAAAAACTAAGGGGAGGCCTATCATCCAGACCAGTTCCAGATAGGTCGCACACTATACGGAATAAGTCCGCCTGTTGGTTGGACGCTTCGCTTATCCGGTTAGCAAAGTAAGTTCGACAAGCAGCCTTTACCTTAGACAGGTAAAGGTTAGTTGCGACCTTGACAGCTATCCTATTATAATCCGTTGGGTTCTTCCTCCTTCTACACTCTAGCCTTCTCCTATGTCGCTTCAGCGCTCGAAGCTCCTGGTTAAACCAGGGCGCTGGACGAGCTCTACGATGGAGAGGGCGTTTAGGTGCGATCGTGTCTATAGCCCTGGTTACGAAGGTGGACCAGTTATCAACCAGAGTGTTGACAGGAGCGCTAACCACATTAGAGCCACATCCCATCTGTTCTTGCCTTCTCTCCTCTCCCAGCAAGCATAGTACAGGTCAAGTGTTCATCTTCTGGTATCTTCTATTACTAAGTAATTCTACATGAGAAAAGTTTCATGTAGTGTATGTATACTTAAACTCGTATTTTTGTTGACAGGAGCGCTAACCACATTAGAGCCACATCCCATCTGTTCTTGCCTTCTCTCCTCTCCCAGCAAGCATAGTACAGGTCAAGTGTTCATCTTCTGGTATCTTCTATTACTAAGTAATTCTACATGAGAAAAGTTTCATGTAGTGTATGTATACTTAAACTCGTATTTTATAAAGCCAGGAAATCCAGTTCTTCAAAAATCCTCCATTTTATGAATGTGGGATATTGTATGTGCATCCATGATTCAAAATGACAGGATATAGCCCAGTGTTGTTGCACAATATTGTGTGCTCACACTGACAGCAGGAAAAAGGATGCCAAACTTTACATAGCAAAGGGCAGCCCTAATGGTGACAACATCAATGGCAGCAGTCAAAATGGTCTACAGCAGTGGTCCCCAACATTTTTTAGCCCCGCAGACCAGTTGGGAAAGGTGGGGCACCCCACTGCGCTTGTGTACATGTGTGAAAGAGCAGGGGCACCCATGCAGGTACGTGTGTGCTCGTGTGCATGTGCAAAGGGCAGCATGGTACTTGGGGCACTCGTGCACATGCGCAAAGGGGTGGGGGAGCACTCATGTGGGTGCAGGTGCATATGGGCAGGCGCAAACGAGCTGTGCGGGCGGAGTGTGTGCAGGGGTGGGGGAGGTCTGTCACCGCAGCCCGGCCTGGCTCAGGCCATGGACCAGCATCAGGCCGTGGACTTCTGGTCTACAGGATACCCTCTTATACTCACTACCACCCACAAAGTGACAACAAGTAACAGAAAATATCAGAAGCAGCCTCCTTTTTCATCAGTTACCAACCTCTCACCCAGACACAAAGCAATGGTCAGGGCTGTTTTTCAGCAAGGATGAATGGACAACCCACAATCTTCCACTGCCTGAGGAAGGAAGAGAAATGCTGCTGCCAGTGTTGCCAACGGCACCACCTCCACCACCACTACTGCATTGCCACTGCAGCAAATAGATATAAAGTGCTTTTTCCAGGTGCATTTCTTTTACCGTGCCCTTGATGAAATTAGCAATGAGTCCAGGGGGAGTGGAATTGATAACAGAAGCAGTCAGGTCACAACACCAATGCTGAGCACTCAGTATTACCAAGAGGGTGATGGAAGGCTCCAGAGTCTTGGGACGTGAGGGTGGGATGGGACCTCCCTCAGATGCATCAATGGCTTTCATTCAGACTGGGCTGCAAAAGAGGGAACTGTGCTTTTTTGGAAAAAAAATACCTTTTAAGGAGTTTTAATGCAATAGCGTTATTTATCCTATAATTAGAGAGGGGCACAAATTAGAAAGCCAGTAGTTCATGATGATTCATGATGATTCATGATGATTTGTGCCCCTCTAATGAACCACCCTGAATCTCTGGAAAAAAGAACCAGATTGCTGTTTGTTTTTCCTGTTCATGCCTCCCGGGGGGGGGCAAACCTACCACGTCCACCCCCTCTGCTGCCCACCCCACCTTTCCTCTGCTCCTGTCACCACCTTACCTGGTTCATCTTTTCCTCCTCCACTTTCGCCACCGCCACCTTCAGAGATAGCAAGCCTAGCTCCTGGAAGGGAAGCCGGCCTGCTGGAGATGGTGGCGGCGGCGGCAGAGGCGGCAGCAGGACCAGGCGAGGAGGTGATGGGGACTGCCTGGTTCATGATTTTTTTTTTAAAATCTGGTTCATAGTTTGTTCATGCCCATCTCTAGCTGTAATTCCTTGATTGTGCTTTTTACAAAACTGTTCAGAGGCCAGCGTCCTACTCGTCATTTTCATGTGGGGCACTCCAACTATGGAAGTTGCTACAGGACTAAAAACAAGGTCCTCTCCAAGTGCCCAGTTGTGCACAACCAATACCTTGACAAGATTGCACAATATATGGGAGCCACTGGATAAATACTGTGCAGGATACTTAAATTAAAAGTTTCAGTCTCTTTTCATCAGTACTTGCTGGTATTGTTTTTTATCTTGTTGTGAGTTACCTTCTGTCTAAGACCTTGGAGAAAGGTAGAACGAAGGTCACAACAATGAGTTAATATGAGGTTCTTCCCACTCGTATGTGTTTGTCCAGTCCTGATATGGACTGGGTCCATTTGCACCACCTGGAGCACAAAAATTAAAGTAATCCAAAGCTGCATACGGCATAGTTAAGGCAGCAGACGGTTTATCCTCTTGAGTTCCATTGAGTAAAACATTTTTGTATGGATGTTCCACGTTCTCTATGTTATGTTTCAGTAATTTCCCCCACAGTTTAAACAGAAAGAGTGAGCAGTAATTGGAAAGGTGAGATTACAAACAGGATATATTTAATGCAATGATTTTTTTTAAAAAATTCAGATATTCATGCTTTGATCACTTAAGCTGCAAGACTACTCACACTTAGGTAAAGGTAAAGGTTCCCCTTGACAATTTTTGTCCAGTGGTGTTTGACTCTAGGGGGCGGCGCTTATCCCCGTTTCCAAGCCCATAGAGCCAGCGTTTTGTCTGAAGACAATCTTCCATGGTCACATGGCCAGTGTGACTTAGACACGGAACGCTGTTACCTTCCCACCGAGGTGGTCCCTATTGATCTAATCGCATTTGCATGCTTTCAAACCGCTAGGTTGACGGGAGCTGGGACAAGTGACAGGAGCTCACTCCATTGCGTGGATTCGATCTTACGACTGCTGGTCTTCTGACCCTGCAGCACAGGCTTCTGCGATTTAGCCCGCAGCGCCACCACGTCCCACATCTACTCACACTTACCTAGGAATAAGTTCCATAACTATTGACCTACTTCTGAGGAAGCATGGATAGGATTGCACTGGAAAGCATTTGAAAATTGCTGCAATATCAAGTGGAAGGCTAACATTTACATCCTGTTGTCCATGTCCTACAACTGAGACATCCTCTTAAGTGTGTGCGTGTCCAATATACCCAAGCACCTAATAATTAACTATTGTACCATGGAATTTCAGCATTTATATTGGTATGTGTGCACTGCATAATGTTATGACACAATGCAGTTGCAGGCTTCTATGTTTTACCTTTTTTTTTAAAAAAAATCCTTTTTCCTCTAGGACTTGAGTATCAACACATATCCTGTGGAAAGCATGGAAATCAAACACACGGATCAGTGCGATGAAGTACCCTGTAATTCTCCATGCAAGGTACAAAAGACTTTCAGAACTGGGGGAAGGCTGCGATTGAATGGCAAAATGGCAGAGAGCAAGAACCAACTCATTAAACAGATCCTTCATGGAAGCAGCTGTGCCAGCAGCTGTGCACAAAGATACCTTTTAATTTGTTTTGTTTCTAAAGAGAATCACAGTTGACTTTAATTACTGTTGTAATTTTGCCATATCTTGATTGATTGATTGATTGATTGATTGATTGATTGATTGATTGATTGATTGATTGATTGATTGATTGATTGACTGATTGATTGATTGATTGATTTGATTTGATTTGATTTGATTTGATTTGATTTGATTTGATTTGATTTGATTTATACCCCGCCTATCTGGTCTACTCGACCACTAGAGCAAGTCGGTCCCAGAGCTTATCTGTTACAATTTGCATTTCATTTCTCTGTGTGTTATCGGAATGTGTCTATCATTCTTACTGTACTATGGTCTGCAATGGGAATATATTTTATGTCAAGCTTCAAAAACTAGCCTGTCCTATCTCCAACGACAGCCAAGCTGTATTGGGACACCTGTTATCTAATTATACGTTCACCTCTGCTAGGCACTAACATTTGAATTGTTTATATATATTTTTATTGTCTCATTTTATGGTTGTTGGCCGCTTAGAGTGGTCCTGACCTGACCAGATAGCGAGATATTAATTAATTAATTAATTGATTAACTGATTAATTAATTAACAATAACAATAACAATAACAATAGTAAATTAATAACAACAACAAACAACAACAACAATGACTGAGGAGAGGTTGAGGTCCAGAGCAGGACTGGAGACAGTGGCCTCAAGGTGAGTGCCAGGATACCATGTGACTGCTGCTGACTAGCAAGCACTGCCGCTCACAGGAGACAGACAGATAGATAGATAGATAGATTTAGATAGGAAAGAGGTTATGGCTGTAACCACTGAAAGATAGATCTGGGTATAGGTAGGTAAATGCTGAGAGAGAGAGAGAGAGAGTGAGATCAGCCATTGAGTAACACAAGTGGGAAGATGACAAGGATAATGGAGAAGCCAATTGATAAATAAGGTTTCTGCCCTCATCTGATCTGGCCACTGTACTTTTAACAACTGTCAGATATTGTGAAATTCAATGTTTTTTTCCGAATGTGAGAAAAATGGAGAAAATGGAGACTACAAGAAGGTGTGTTCTTTTTCATTGTTTCACCAAAATCCTGAACTATTTTCTGCCATGAAAGGATTATAGCAGAAGCTCCCTGACAGTATATAGATAGCAGCTGTACCCCTAGCATTTTCCACTGCAGTACTGTATAATAATTTACCATGCCATAGTAGGGTTGTGTAACCACTGATGAAATCTCAAATAATGTCAGGACTCAGGAGCAAAAACAATTGGAGCATTTCTGCCTCTGATGCCCTTCCATGAAATTATGAGGAGATTTAAAGACTTATCTAAGAGAGAACACTGGAAGGACAGGGAAATTGAAGATGATTTCCCTGCCTCACAAATTGCCTTCATAGAGCGACACTAATGTAGGGATGGGGAAGGTTTAGGCCATGGGGTTGAATTCCATTCTGCTGGATTCTGGGTCTGTTAGCTCAGTGGTTCTTAACCTTGGGTTACAACTCCCAGAAACCCCAGCCAGCACAGCTGGTGGTGAAGGCTTCTGGGAGTTGCAGTCCAAAAACACCTGAGTAACCCAAGGTTAAGACCCACTGTATTAGCTCGCTGTATCCCAATCTGTGGTACAACAAGCTGTGACAACATCATTGAAAGGGTTTCCCATTTTTGTATCAATGTTACCCAACAAAAAAATGAAAATAAGATTAGTCTGACAGGATTTGCTGCTGACAAATCCGTCTTGGCTTTTAGTTCTCACTGCATTGTTTTCAAGGTGCTTGCAGATTGACCACTTATCTGTTCCAGAATTTTCTCTGGATTGATGTTAGGCTGACTGGTCTGTAGTTTCCAGGTTCCTCCTTCTTGCAGATTGGGACATTAGCCCTCCTCTCAGCATCTGACACTTCACTCACCCGCCATGATTTTTATATATATAGAGAGAGAGACAGTGGTTCTGAGAGTTCTGAGAGAACCAGTTTATAGAGAAACTGGTAACATATAAATAACAATTAGGTTATGGAAATACACCCACTGACCTCTGTGGACTCCACCCACAGGAAACAAAGATAGTGATCATACAGGGGAATGTCTAGATTAATGAAGATGATCATCAGATGTCTTGGTTACAGGGAATGATAAATACTGGTGTAGCATTTCACCAGCATGACTAGATATCAGCAGATTTTTAACAATAAACCCAAGGGTGGCTGGAAGCATCTTCTTCATACATTCATTTTAAAAACAGACAAATGTCACATATGAAATTAAGACATGGCTTCTGTTTTGAATTATGTGTGAATTTGATAAAAGAACCCTGGCTCCACATAAGATGCAGCTGATAATTGTAATGATGATTGACTTAACTGACGTTTTGCAAGCTCATGGAATTCATTGGCTGGCATCATTCAGAGATTACATAGCTTACTATCAGGATGTCCCTAAACCACAGAGTGCAGGAAGTAGAAAATGAAGGGCATGTGTCTGATAACTGCCCAGTCTTCCAAAACATCAGGCTTGAGTGCTGTTGAAAAGTTTATAAAAAATCAAGATTTTGAAATGAGTTTACTAAAATGGCATTTAACTGAGAGGAAATATAATTGCCCGTAGTGTTTACATCTCATAGTCCAGTATGTTCAGATTTTAACTTCAGAATGTGTTTGCTTATAAAAGAGGGAACCAACCATAATAGCTTCAATCCAATCTTCTCCTGCTCATGGAAAACTTACTTAATAATCCCATTGGTGGAATTGGGGAGAGGTGACTTTTCTTAATCCCCCCCCCGCCCGCGACAAACATTTTGTTTGCTGAACTACTAATGACAGTTTACATAGTTTGCTTTTGTAAAACTGGAAAAAATATGGAATGCTAAGCATTATTTCTTATATGGCAGGAATTGTTGCTCTGCAGAAAATTTAATATTCACCCTTCCTTTCTGCATATCATTTTCCAGCAAATGGATACATTTCCTTGCAGTTTACTTAGTGTAAGAATCATACGGATGAGAAATCTTCGCAAAGCTGATACCTGTGAGTGCGCTTCCTTCCCTAATTAATTCACACTTGCTTCAAACTTAAAAACATCATAGTCTTTCTTTCTTTTTCTTTCTTTCTTTCTTTCTTTCTTTCTTTCTTTCTTTCTTTCTTTCTTTCTTATACTGCCCTATTAGTGCGAAGCACTATTCTGGGAGGTTTACAAGAGTACATGAAACATAGAATAAAAAGCAATAAATACACTAGAATTAAAACATTAGTAGAATAGGAACAAGAGTAAGCAATAAATACACAAGAATTAAAACATTAGTAGAATAGGAACAAGAGACATTTACTGTAAGATTTCATTACTTGCACCTGATGCTGGTTTTATGTGAGCGTCTAAGCATGATTTACATCTTGGTGCTTCATCTCTTTAGATGAATGATAAGAGAAAGAGAACTATTGTTTGGAGGTGGAAAGAGAAACTGTAACTGGGTAAAGCAAAGTCCTGTAAAGAATCTGGTACAGGAAAAATTGCAGATTGCTGAGGCTTGTTCCGGATTTTGAAATCATTAATACATTGCTCCAAGCTTGAGGTATTTTGGTGTATTTCAGATGCAAATTGCCTATTGAGTTGGTCTCTTTAACATATAGAGGAAGTAATGGCTGAAATCCAGTAGTAAGTCACAACTAAAGTAAGCTCATTGAATCAATGGAGATTTGGTGAATCAACACCTATGTAGGTTCCATTGACTCAATGGGTCTACTCTAATTGTGACTTACTGCTGGATTTCATTCAGTGTCTTTATTAGGATATTGTACGAAGTGTATCTCCTTATCAAGGAATATGTGTCTGCAACAGGAAGGAATACAGGTACCTTTACTAATAGGGAATTGAAGCTTCTTCTACTCTAGACATATACAACAGTCTGATGTATCAGGCTCAAAGAAATTAGGACAGTAATTATGAACAGTAATTGTGGATTTCGGTTTCTGCATGCGTCCGTGACCCCTTTGATGTATGGCAGAAATACTTTATTTGTGGGTGGCTGTTTTTCTTCTTCAGTTCAGTGTTGTTTTCTTGGACCGCATGGGGAAACTTTTGAAAAAAACATAACCTGCAAATAGTATTCAGGCCCACCGCAAAAATACAACAAATGTTACGATCAGTAAAGGACAAAAGGGACCCCCTCACCACTGCAGGAGTATACCAGATACCTTGCAGTTGTGGCCAGGTATATATTGGAACCACAAAATGCAGCATCCACACCAGAATCAAAGAACATGAGAGACACTGCAGACTGAAACAACCGGAAAAATCGGCAGTACCTGAATATGCCCTGAAACAAGCTGAACGTGAAATCCTATTTTGAAAGACAGAAGTACTGGACAACACCCGCAATCATTATGTTAGATTACACAGGGAAGCCATTGAAATCCACAAACATCAGCAAAGCTTCAACAAAAAAGAAGAAAATCTAAAACTCAACGAAGCCTGACTCCCAGCAATGAAAAATACAGTCTGCAAAAAGGGCAGTGAACTCTACCCAGCCACAAAGACCAGTGATCAATGCACACAAAAGACTAGCTAACAACACCCATCAATCACAGTGACAGATCATTTCTCCCCTTATCACAACAATACACCCATAGCAACAACAACAACAACAACAACAACAAAACACCCTGATCACCATCACCACCCATTCTCCTGAAAAGGACAATAAGCTGATTCCAGAACTACAAATACTCAACTATCCCACACACTAGACCAGAACACAGACAGAGTTCTAGTTCCTGTCCTCTGAAGATGCCGGCCACAGAGACTGGTGAAACATTAGGAAGAAAAACCTCCAGAACAGCCTGAGAAACCAGCAACAACCATTAAAGAGCTACCTCCTGTTCTGTGGCTCCCAAAGAATTCCCCAGGATGAAAAGGATCTCTAGGGATCCCCAGAACCTGGGGGAAAGGGAATAGAATATGCTTACTTCTCCCCAAAATAGCTTTGGTGATAGCATCATCCAGGTTGCATGGTGCAAAGTTGTGCAACAGAATTCCAATAATACATAAAAACACATTACAAAAAAGATAAGAGATATCCCTCCATTTAGAAACTCTTTAGAAAGTCTTTTCTTAACAGCCAGGACTTACTAAAAGCCTGCATGAAGAGAAAGGTTTTTGCCTGCTTGAGGAACAACAGCAAACATGGGGCCAGCCTGGCCTCCTGTGGGAGGGAGTTCCAAAGTCTGGGTGCAGCAACAGAGAAGGCTGACTCGTATACCCCCCTCAGACGCACCTGTGAAGGAGGTGGGGCCAAGAGAAATGCCTCTCCTGATGATCTTTATACCCAGGCCAGCTCAGAATGGGGGAAATGGTCTTAGAGATAGCTTGGACCTAGGCCAATTAGGGCTTTGTAGGTTAAAACCAGCACTTTGAATTGTGCCCAGTAACTGATTGGCAGCCAGTGGAGCTGTTGTAACAGTGGGGTTGTGTGATCACTGTTACCAGCCCCAGTCAGCAATCTGGCTGCTGCATTTTGGACCCGTTGAAGTTTCCTGACACTTTTCATCAGCATGGACAGCATTATAGTAATCCAGCTGGGAATTAACTGGGTGTATCTCCCAGTGGCCGGATCAGATCCCTCAAGAAATGGACATAGCTGGCACATTAGTTTTAATTGTGTAAATGCACTTTGGCCTGGGCATCCAGTTTCAGGAATGAATCCAGAAGCTGTGCACCTGTTTTATCAATGGGAATGTAATCCCACCCAGTACTGGTTGTATCCCTATTATTTGAAATTCCTTTCCAATGACTAGGAGCTCCTCTGTCTTGTCTGGATTCAGTTTATTCACCCTCATCCAGTCTATTACTGAAACTAGACACTGATCTAGAGCCGAAGTAGCTTCCTCAGATTTAGGTGGCAAGGAGAGGTAGAGTTGGTTGCCATCCGTATATTGGTAACACCAAACGTCCAAACTCTGGATAATCTCTCCCACTGGTTTCGTTTAGATGTTAAATAACATAGGAGACAAAACAGAACCTTGATAGACTCCACAGGTCAGCCACCAGATCTTCAAACAGGAATCTCCCAGCAACGCCTTCTGAGTTCTCTCCTCCAGGAAGGACTTGAGCCACATTAAAACAGGGTACCCAAGTCCCATTCCATTATGGTGATCTTATGCGAGCTGGAATTTATATTCTGGAGTTTTATTTTATTTATATCCATTTTAGTAAAAACTGAACTACTAAAATTATTTAGGTGTGTATGTGACGGTTGTCCGATACCTGCATCTTTTATGCCTCTTGTCTGAGCTTTGAGTGGCTTTCTTTTCCCTGACCACCTTTCTTTTTCTTCTTTCTCCTTCTGTTTTTCGATGTGGTGGTACAAATACTACTGCTTACTGGCCTTTATGCTAGGATCAGAAGGATGCCTGTAGGCAACAATAAAACTTGCTTCTCTCTCTCTCTCTCTCTCTCTCTCTCTCTCTCATTCTCTCTGCATACTTATTTGGCTGAGGGGACCAGTGGGCATCCCATTTTAAATGAAAATATCGGAACATGCTTCTGATCTACTTAGTGATTTACCTTTGCATGTCCTCGTCCAAGAGCAACATGCTGTTAAAGGGAAAAGGTCTGCTTCAAAAGTTGGTTACGAGTTCTTAGCAACTTTCTCTCCCTCCCTCTCTCACACACACTTTTTTCTTTTTCTTTTTTCCTTTACACAGTGAGCGAATCGGACTGCTATGTGACCCTCTGGCTGCCCTCTGCCACATGTGAAAAGCAAAGGACTAAAACCGTTAATAATGCCAGGAACCCTGTTTGGAACGAAACATTTTATTACAGGATTCAAGGACAAGTCAAGGTGAGAACTGACAGAGCTCTCTTCCAGCTGCAGATGGCTAATACCGTTATTTTTTTAACCGGATGGGATAATATCATTCACACCTTGGTTTTGTCCTTCGCCACCTACATGCATCTCTTGATTGGCCTATGTGTGCATGGGCTGGTGACGAGACAGTTCCACACATGTAAATGGAGCCTGTTTGCTAAACTACTGTCATGGACTGATTTTAATACTTTTGTGTACAGAGCGCACGGCCGCCTACACTCTCATGCAGTGGGACTTTACAGAAGCACTAACTCCAATGGAGTAGCACAGGCTTTCCCAGCTGGCTCCATCCAGATGTGGTGGACTGCAAATTCATCATTCCAGTATCAGTTCCTATCAGTGATGATGGAACTTCTAGTCTGAGACTTCTGTCGCATAACAGTACCTTCCTTTCTAATATGATTACTGCCAATGAGTTCCACTCCCCCAGAATTTACAAGTAATTATTACTGTATTTCTAAAGGGAGGGGGAGTGTCTGATTTAAAACAAAAAGTTATAGCTGGCTTCGGCAAGAAATAAAGTCCATCACTCTAGCTCCTAATCATCATAAATGGTGTTATCTCCAATCACAGGCAGGGACATTGAAGTAATACACTACAGGTATATTTCAGTGTTCAATATTTCTTTACTAGTTCTTTCATCTAAACAGAAACATTTAAAAGCTTTGGTAGTATGCTTGAGACATAAAGCGTGGTAGCTTGAAAAATTCCAGAAATTCAAGTACTTCTGCTCCTGCCACCATATCTTCCACATCCATTATTTATTCATGTTCTATTGCGTTTTCTGTGTATCAAATGAGCATCCAGCCCTGTCCAACAGGAAAAACTACAGTCATTTGTTAATTCCAATGGGAAGCATCAAGATCTAGAGATTGGATACTGCCTCCAAGTGGAATCTGGTGGGACTCTGAATTAGTCCATGGTAAATGTTCTGAATGTCTGAATGGTGTATGCATGTTACAAAGGGAATCTCATGTGTGATGTACACCCTTTGCCACAAGTTCAATCCCTACCTTCCTTTCTAATATGATTACTGCCAATGAGTTCCACTCCCCCAGAATTTACAAGTAATTATTACTGTATTTCTAAAGGGAGGGGGAGTGTCTGATTTAAAGCAAAAAGTTATGACTGGCTTCGGCAAGAAATAAAGCCCATCACTCTAGCTCCTAATCAACATAAATGGTGTTATCAGGCCTCTCCAATCACAGGCAGGGACACTGAAGTAATAATCCACAGGTATATTTCAGTGTTCAATATTTCTTTACTAGTTCTTTCATCTAAACAGAAACATTTAAAAGCTTTGGTAGTATGCTTGAGACATAAAGCGTGGTAGCTTGAAAAATTCCAGAAATTCAAGTACTTCTGCTCCTGCCACCATATCTTCCACATCCATTATTTATTCATGTTCTATTGCGTTTTCTGTGTATCAAATGAGCATCCAGCCCTGTCCAACAGGAAAAACTACAGTCATTTGTTAATTCCAATGGGAAGCATCAAGATCTAGAGATTGGATACTGCCTCCAAGTGGAATCTGGTGGGACTCTGAATTAGTCCATGGTAAATGTTCTGAATGTCTGAATGGTGTATGCATGTTACAAAGGGAATCTCATGTGTGATGTACACCCTTTGCCACAAGTTCAATCCCTAATATCTCTAAGGAAGGCTGCAAAAAAGACTCCCATCAGGAATTTTGGTAATGAGCTACATGTTTCAATGTCATTCAATGTCAAGTTTACTGGGGCTTATAGTAAGGCAACTGAACAGAGGACTGGAAGCTAAGTGAAGCTGGGTCTCAGTGCTCATATCTTGCTTGTTTGTTCATTCATTTCATTCATATCCTGCCTCTCTCCCAGTGAACAGGAAGTTTCATTTAAATGCCTGGCTTGCCTCAATCAAGCTTCAGAAAAACTGCATCTTCATTTCATTTGCAACGTCCTTTTTACATTATCATTATCGTTTAAGGGCTGCATAAGGGTTCCCTGATTCAGTTCTGAAGTCAGAGAATTTAGATTAAGACCTCTTTCAGTTCAGTCTTATATATGGTATGGTTATACAGCCATAACCAATCTGAATTCTGCTCAAAATTCAGAATCTTCAAACTCTCATCAGTTTGTACTGGGATTTTGGAATGACTGCTTTTCATTATATACCCATCAGAGTGGGCTGCTACTGTTAAATCCTAGAAAAATCTGGGGTGGGATTGGGCTACTAATATTTAATGACTGTAACTTTTTTTCCACTTACGTATTTGTAGCCACCTTCTGATTTGATGAAGTGAAACAAGTTTTACACAGATTGTCCAAGGTTTTTTCTTTTTATCCTGTACATTTTCTCTGATATGCAACATTAGTATTTCCAATATGCTAATACTGCTTTTCTACTCCATGATGGTGTCTGTACCTTCTATTTACATGAAGACCTGCTTTGTAAAGACAAAGAAAACACACGGAGCGAGACAGATTGAAAAAAAAATCAAAATCAGACATGCTATGTTTGGATTGGTCACCAGAGGGTGTGTGAACTAGATTCACACACAATGAACATACAGTACTGGAATTCTCACACACAAATTAGCAAGAAAGACAAAAAGAGGATTGAGTGGGTTATTCAAATTAACAAAACAAAAGATTTGGAAGGTATAAGGCAGACTCAGACTAATGAAGATAAAAATAAAGAGCCCCCAAAACACTAACTGCAGGTTTTGCTGAGATGTAGAACTAATAGCTAAAAAGGGGGAGGGGGAGAGACAAGAGAAGGAACTGAGTATATATTTTCAATGAAATCATACAGTCATTCCCTAAAGCAATGCAGGCAAGATTCCTACTTCAGATTATAAGCCAGAGCTATCAATAAGCAAATTCCAGATCTTCTCTCTAGTATATGACCCATATGCCTCCTTATATATATATATATATATGGTGTGGTTTTACATCTTTTTGCAGACGTATAGTTAGACTTTCTTTTAGTGTCCCGATCTAATTTGGATCTCATTCAGACCATTCCCCTCCACTTTGGACTTGACTCAAACTGGTCTGGATTCAGTTCAGAAGTTGGCCAGATTTTTTTTATTTTTTATTTTTTATTTTTATTTTTTGTTTTGCATAGCCCTAAGGTACAGCATTGTAACAACGCTCTCTGGTGTAGGACAGGGGCAAGAAGAAATGCAGTCTGGCAACTGCAATACACCTGAAAAAGTCTTGTAGCAACTTAAGAGTCCTTTATTGTGGCCTAAGCAGGAATCGGGTGACTTCACAAGGTGGCTATGAGAAAATCCATGTTGCAATAAACATGTAAGTCTTTATGTGCAAGCCTTATGGTTGGGTTTGCAGCTATAAGAGCTTCTCATAATAAATGTGTGCTCATTTTTAAATGTCAGGACTTCCATATACAAATTAATTTGTATTTTACTAGCCAACTCTAATGAGTATTACTTATCTCTGGGGATGATGAGTCTGCGTATCGGGATGAGGTATTACAGCTATCCCGCTGGTGCAAAAAAAACAATAGAGCTTCTCATAATAAATGTGTGCTCATTTTTAAATGCGGATGGGCAGCCAATACAAGTAATTTGTATTTTACTAGCCAACTCTAATGAGTATTACTCATTAGATGTCAAAATGCTACTAATATACAATAGTGTACTGTAACATTAGTAAAAATGGTTTCCCCAGGCATGAAAGTGTTGCTTAAATATCTTACAATGTAATATATTCTTTCTTTTATTAACTCTCGTTCATCAGGAAAAAAAACTTGCAGTGACTCACTTCTGGATTTTGTTTTGTTCTTCCTGATCTTATAAGAATTAAAGATTGGGCTTAAATTTATACACTTCATATTTCATAAACCTCTCTTCCCTACCCACAAATGGAGCCAAACCACCCTTCGTGATGCCTACATCTTGGCATCATTGTTTGCTGAAAAATAACACAGGACATGTTCTGTTTACAGCTGATGGCTAGAGAGATCAGTGATTTTGGTATTTGGTTGTGAAGCCGGAGATTGCGAGTTCGATTCCCTCATTGTGGATCCAGGGAGAAGAGCCAACCTGGACAGCCTTGGGCAAGCTGCACAATCCCAGGGTGGCCCCCAAAGAAGGGAATGTAAACCCTTCTGAGTACTCTGTGCCTAGAAAAACTTGGACCATAAGTCAGAATTTCCACTTGACAGCTCATAATTATTATTAATGGTCATTACATTATGCAGTACTGAAATATTTAAGCATCTCCCCCTTAAAGCACCTCTGTCATTCAAGAGAAGAATGGCTCCTAAAGCAGTATCACACAGATTTTAAAACAAAACAATACCTTACATGCAAGTAAATTCAACCAATATAGCTACAGATAAACTAGCAGCGCACCAATTTGCAATTAAGAGCCACATGACAGATTATGCAGTCTGCTTTGTCAGGGCATAATGCCCGGCAAAGTTACACTTGCAAAAGGTTACGTCACATGGCAATGAACTGGATTCTGGAAAAAGTGTTTCCCTTCTTTGATAGACACAGGGCTTATCTTGCGGCTCATGTATTTCTTACTTCTCACAGAACATGCTAGAGCTGGCTGTCTATGATGAAGATGCCGTCAGTACAGATGACCACCTCTTCACTATACGCTTCGACGTTGCTCGACTTCCATTTGGTGAAAAAGTTCTCATGTGTTTTAAGTCTGAAGAACAGGTAAGACCCAAGATAGGAAGGTAAAATAACCCATCAGTGTCACGTATTGAACAGCATGCCTGTAAAACATGTGACTCATCAAGCTGAATAAGGTCCATGCAGTATTTTATGTATTTATTTATTTATTTAAAGTATTTTTACACCACCATTCTCCTAAAAAGGATGGCATGGTTGTTGACCAGGAATCCTTAAGATTCCATATTTGCCTGGCTGCTTGAGACTTCAGGAATAGCAAGTGTGAATGTATTGCATGTTATTTAGCAGTTCAGTTTTCTGGAAATAGTATATGTCCTATTAGTGTGCATGAACATGCTGGCTGGCAGTTGCATGCTGGGATGTAGCCAGCTTATGAACTAGGTTGTGCACTTACTTGCACACCCAGAAACACAACAGATAGTCAGAAAACTGAAAACTATTGGCCCAGTTTTCTTATGGTTGCAATATTTTGTAACAGGGTTTTGGCCACTGATTTATTTTTATTTTTTAAGATGTTCCTTTAATACATACTATATAGCACTGTAGCTTTATTTTGATTTCTAGTTTATCAGTCAATTATAATTTCCACCAGGGTCTCTCAAGGTGAACAGAGTTCCTTGTTTGGCCAGGTTGTGTCTGACACTTTGCCCGCATCTTGTATTGGTTTTGCTACTAAAAGGTAAACCGATCACTGCGATCCATTGGACAGATTTCACTACTGCTAAGACTGAATATGTCAGTCTCACTTTCTCCAACATTTCAGTTTTTCAAGAAATTTGTGAATTTTGGAAAGATTTTCTTTAAAAGAAACGAGGCAAAATTCTTAGCATTGGCCACATGCATAAGGAACAATTTGAAGATGATCTCTGCACTTTCTTTCCATAAAATTCAGTTTTTTAGCAGCCAAGAAGCCTTATTTTGTTAAACAGAAAACTTTTCATCAGGTCAGCACTAAAACCATCATTTTTGTTTACACTTCCTGCTGCCGCAAGTGAAGCTGTTTTTTAAAGTGTTGCTTAAATATGAAATTAAGATTTCTAATTCTAAAGAGGTTTGCCTAGGTTCCTGGCAAAACTCAATATTCATGATGTGATTGCTTTCTCAGTTTGTGGGCTCTTCTAATCTTCAAGTGGGATGTGGTGGCGCTGCAGGCTAAACTGCAGAAGCCTCTGTGCTGCAGGGTCAGAAGACCAGCAGTCGTAAGATCGAATCCACATGACGGAGTGAGCTCCCGTCGCTTGTCCCAGCTCCTGCCAACCTAGCAGTTCGAAAGCATGCAAAATGCAAAATGCGAGTAGATAAATAAGTACCACCTCGGTGGGAAGGTAACAGCGTTCCGTGTCTAAGTCGAACTGGCCATGTGACCACGGAAGATTGTCTTCGGACAAAACGCTGGCTCTATGGCTTGGAAATGGGGATGAGCACCGCCCCCTAGAGTCGAACATGACTGGACAAAAAGTCAAGGGGAACCTTTACCTTTACCTTTACCTAATCTTCAAATTTGATGCATTTAATTTCTAAACAAAAGAAAATTATGTACCCATTTAAGTTGTTTTTATTTTTTCTGTATTCTTGAGGATAGGCACAAGAAGAGCTGGAAGTTGAATTTACAGTGGAGCCTGCGTAAGTGTTTTAAACTTTATCTTTTAAAATCTCAATCATTTTAAAATGAAAAATGTGACATTATGGCTAAAATCCTATTGGTATAATTATGCCTGCAGAATGATGATGATGTCACCATTGGGAGAGATGTTCAATAACTAAAGACTTCCCTTTTCTTCTTTTCTGTGGATTGTATGACTTGCAAATAATCTGTTTCATAGTATGGAAGTCACAGGACAACAGAAGGATGTTTTCCATCACCAACAATCTTCACCTGTCAGTAACATTGTGGTGGTAGCAATTTTGGGTAAAGAAAGACTTCTTCCTTATGTCCCACAGCTCCCCATGAGACACTATGAAACAGATTATTGGCAAGTAGTAAAAGCGATGGGGAAAAAGGAGAAACTGTTTAATTATGAAAAATAATGCTGATAACATTATCACCTTTCCATAGTTGTCGTAACACCAACTAGATTTCAGTTGATATGTACACACAGAGGTATCCTAGGCAAAAATGGTCAACTACAGGACTGCTGGATAGCTCAGTGGCTGAGGTGTGTAGTAACACCAATTAGATTTCAGTTGATATGTACACACACAGATATCCTAGGCAAAAATGGTCAACTACTGGACTGCTGGATAGCTCAGTGGCTGAGGTTTCTTGCTGAGGAACCAAAGGTTGGGAGTTCAATTTCCCATCATGCCTCCTTGAGAATGGCTGGACTCAATGATCTATAGGGTGCCTTGCAGTCCAAAGGTTATTGTATACTATGGAATTTTATGCTCCTACATGAGAGAAAAGTTCCATATTGTGAAAAATGCACTAAACCTCTTATTTCACTGGACAGAGAGAAATTTTTGAAATTTATCATTCTGTTGAGTTAAAATAAGGAAAGATTTACATCCCTACTCATTAGAATATTTTCCCCCACCCAAGTACAAGTGAATTTCTTGTTAGTATACAAGGATGCAGGCAGACATAAAGGTTATACAAAGCTTTACACAAATTCAGAATATATCAAAACTTCTATAATTTGAATATAAAATATTGTTTTAAAATTGTATTTCAGTTATTTCAATTCTGATTTTGATTCCAACATTTTGGTTTGATGGACACTAACAAAAACTTTTTTGATAAATGTTTGGACAAAATAACATATTCATTAATTTATGTTAGATGTAAATATATGTGAGGACATATCATGCCAGAATTTAATAGCAATTATGACCAATAAAGCTTATAATTATATATTCAAAATATCTATCTGTTTATTTTTTTTCTCTAGATCAGGACCTCCTGAAACCATAATCACAAATGGAGTTCTAGTGGTAATTTTTATATTATATTTCTGCAGATTTTATCATTCTTGTGTGCCCTGTGGAAATTCGAGTTTTTAACAGCACAACTTGCTTTTCTCCTGACAGCCTTATTTGGGGTTAATATTCAATGAATTAAAAATAATTTTTGGCCACATAACTGAACTCAACATAGGAGGGCAATGTAAGACTCGAATCTGTGAATGGTTCCCACTTCACTTTCCTGTCATGAAGGGACAGAATTTTAAATTTTAGATACAGATTCTTAAATCTGATCATCCTAATCTGTTTTTTTTAAAGAAAATAAATGGAGGTGCCCTAAAAATCTTCTTTACAGGCCTAAAATTATCACATTTGCCATGAAGAGGAATGTTGACTCCTACATTTAGAGCACCATCAAGCCAAAGTTACATCATTTTGATGTTCCACTTGTTTCAGTGGAAGACTGAAGTACAGAGATGTATTGTGTGGAGCCCTCCACATGCTGTGACCTGTAACCCCTGTCTTCCCTTTTTCATTATTTATGCTGGTTGGCTACCAGGAGTAGATGTGGAACGCTGTAAGAGGTGGAAGGCTACATTATTACAGATATCCGTTGATTTTTATTCTTGCATTGAACAGAGGGTTGGATTCAATGACCTTGCAGGTGCCTTCCAACTTTATTTTCTATGATTTCCTGATTCTGTAATAGTTGGGCCTCACCCATCTAAACTTATTTAAGCACAACCACATTATACTTTGATTTAAATATATTTTGGTTACATATTGCTTTCTCCCTTTATTTTCAACATCATTGATGGAAAGCCATATCCAACTTCCACATTCACTACCAGTGCTACCCTCCATGGCAACCCAGGATTCATTCTCAGTTGAAGCTGACATAGTCACATACAAAGGGCATACAATATCACAAAAGCCTCTCCTCTTGCTCTTGAACAACCAATAAGGAGGGAAAATAGAACTGTTTCTGTATTACTGAACATCTGGAAGACTCATATCAATTCCAAGAATTCTTATCTGCTAATAACAGGGCCTGCTATTGCTGTCTAAATGTCCTATGGGTACACCCTATTAGTCCTTCTGGAAATGAACTTCCAGATTACATTGCAAAGTAATCTAAGACAAGCAGCCTAATAGAATTGTGAAATTTCATTGATTTTATTTGCTGCCTATTTATGTTACAGTGTCGGGAGGTTTGCAAATTAGAAGCTGAAGTGGATCAGAAGACACGACATAAATCAAGTGAGTGTGTATGGATATGTTTATTTTTCATCATAGCTTTTTTTAAAAAAATATTCATGTTCTATTGGGTAAAGGAAAGGTCATAGGGAAGGGGATTTGGAATAAGGTACTGGGGTAAATATGGGAATGGGCAAATTCCATTCAGACGATTACCATATCTACTATTGTGGGCAAGAAGCCAATAGAAGAAATGGAGTAGCCCTCACAGTCAGCAAAAGAGTGGGAAAAGCTGTACTGGGATAAAATTGCAAAAATGATAGAATGATTTCAACATAAATCCAAGGCAGACCTTTCAACATCACAGTAATCCACGTTTATGCACCAACCACTGATGCTGAAGAGGCTGAAACTGACCAATTCTATGAAGACTTACAACACCTTCTAGACCTGACACCAAAAAAAGACGTTCTTCTCATTCTAGGGGACTGGAATGCTAAAGTAGGGAGTCAAGAGATAAAAGGAACAACAGGTAAGTTTGGCCTTGGAGTTCAAAATGAAGCAGGGCAAAGGCTAATAGAGTTTTGTCAGAGAACAAGCTGGTCATCACAAACACTCTTTTCCAACAACACAAGGTGATTCTACACATGGAAATCATCAGATGGGCAATACCGAAATCAGATTGATTATATTCTCTGCAGCCAAAGATGAAGAAGCAAAAACAAGACCTGGAGCTTATTATGGCTCTTATCATCAGCTTCTTATAGCAACATTCAGGTTTAAACTGAAGAAAGTAGGAAAGACCACTGGGTTAGTCAGGTATAATCCCTTATGAATACACAGTGGAAGTGAAGAACAGATTTAAGGAACTGAATTTGGTGGACA